GAAAGGTTATGTATTATCTGCTCAAGAGAAATACGGTTTTGATACATCTTGTGTTGCCACTTTGCTGTTGTGTTTCTGAACTGCCAGACAGCACTTTCCATGGGACGTCTTGTCTCATTCAGTCTCCCTAGATTTCACTCAGCCAGGGAGGTACCTTCTACCCTCTCATCCTGCCAGGACAACAGTTTCTAACATCACTAGCTATAGCCTGGACTGCTGCAGGTGGGCTTCATTTCCGCAGAGATGGAGACACAGCAGGCAGGCACAAACCATGCAACAACTTCTCAGACAAAAAGTTAGGATTCAAGCACAATACTATAGCTATACAGTCCCGTGGGACAAAGGCATACCCACAAGCTCAGTGTTGCAAGGGAAGATGGAAGCCAGAATTCAATCCTTCTTGAATCACCTCTCCAAGGCCCTGCTGTTTTTCTCCTCAGGACCCGTAGGTTAATATTCACTGCTGCTTACATTCTGTAGCATCTTTTCCAAATAATTATACTCAGAAAATTCTAAAACAGATTTTTTCAGTTGTTTCCTCACCGGTAATCATGCTAGTTAATTAGGGTTAACTTTAAAGGCTAACAAAGGTAACTATGACAGATTGAGCATGAACTGCATGCTGCACATCTCCATCGTGTATAGCATTAACAATCGTATGAAGCTAAAGAACCTTCAGCTGTTTTCTTTGCATCTCACAAAACCTAATAACTTAAGCTTTAGAATACCTGTGGTGGGTGGAATATTTATTTTTTTCATGCAGTGGGAACAATGCCATAAAGGCTAAGATTTCTAAGGCCAACTTTCTAGAAGCAGTCTCACAGCTTGGTTCACTGGTGTAACAATACCAGAAGGTTTGTTCTGGACCTAATTTATTCTTATTCAATAGAATTGACTTTTAAAAAATCACTTCTGGAAATCTCCAGACCTGCTGCTTCTGCCAGCTGCCCTGGAAGCTGTGCCATATGTGCATGGATGGGTGGAAAACTCTTCACCTTCCCCAAGCCTACTCATACTCCAGCCCCAAAATTGCCACACTATCAGTAGGTGCAGGGATAATTCATGCTTGTCCTTGGTTTTGCCACTAGTCCCATTGTCATCCCACAGGAACTGGCTGGCAGTTCTTTGGCAACATGTTCCTGACTCTTAGATGTGCCAGGGACACAGTGAATTTTTGAAGTCATGTAGCTGTAGCTACTCGCAGTTTCCAGCTACGTGCAGTTTCCAGCTACACACAGTTTCAACCGCATCAGTTCCAGTACACTTTGGTGAAGCTTTCATAGCTTCATTTCAGTTGAGTTTGATTCCTCCACCTTGAGTGCAGCACACGGCTAACAACTGCTCAGCTCAAGCTTCTAAGTTGCAGCCCCACCCCATCTTTTTCTATATATGACCCATGCTATGCAAGTAAACCGTTAGAGGAGGCCTGGCTGAAAGTATTCCATTAGTATTCAGATGATAAAAAACATCCCCATTTGATTTTGAAGTTGCTGACAAATACATGAGAAAGTACATGAAGAGGAGGCAATATTCTGTTTTCCAAACATTTCTTGGAATTGCACTTGTTTGGAGTGTCTATTCAAACACCAACATGAAGCCATGTTACACCTGGCACAACAGGGAAGTATAAAAGGTCAGTTTTGCTGATGATGTGAACAATTCTTCCCCCAGTGCAACCTCAAAAATTAACTGAATCATTCATTTGCAGAGAAGAAGCAGATGTTTGGAGCCTTCCAACTTCGCCTACCCTCTGGAGAAGAAATGTGTGATATGAAGTTCAAGTGTTTCAATTATCTACATATACACACACATAGACATAAGAAAACAGGCACCACTTCTTGAATAAATCACTCAAAAGAAAAGTAACTTCTTCTTTAAGGCACTTCAGCTCAGTGATAATGGCCATTCAAACAATTAACTCTCTTAGAAACCAGCTCTGCCTGGAGAACAGAGAAACTACACATAACTGGCTGCACATGCAACTTAGATCCACACAGCGTATCTTTCCAAGGCACACAACTTACTCACATGTTGAGAAAAAAAAGCACTTGGAATGTCATGTTGCTGCTGTTGGTGACACTGATCATACAATATTGTAGTATAAAATACTTGATGATTTTTGCTTGTCCTACTTGCTCTGGTGGAAAGTGACCAGTAGTTGGCCCTCTAAGACTACTGTGAAGTGCATGGAGCTGCCTTTGCATGAGCAAAGGGATTCCACAGGCTTTGGAAGATGATGCAGATAATGTCACCATGATTCCTGTTCACTTCCATTGAATGAAGCCTGTTTTGTTTGGATCAGTGCAGCTATTTTTATTCTTATGCCCTCAAATATGACCTCACTAATTATACTGGATGGCCAGTTCACAAGCTGAAATGAACCTTACCTTGTAAGAAAATGGAAGTCAAGCAACTAGATGCAAATTAAGACATGTCCATGTGTGGGGTTTGTAAACACAGTCATTTTGGAAAGTAATTTTCTGTGTGGTCACAGTTAATCCCAGTTAACCATGATAGCATCAGAATTTAGTTTTAATTTAGTTTAGTTCAGCTTGTTAGAAAAAGGTTGCTACTTCAGGGTTGGGGTTTTTTTGCTACTAAGTACTAGAGCTGAGGGATTTGAATGTTTATAGAGAGCTGAATATATGACAAATAAGGATTTTTTCAGAAACTCCCAAATGGAGATAGAAGTTACAAAACGCTTCCTTGAAGCTAATAATCCCTTGTATTTCAAGTGCTGACTGGGCTGGTTTTGCAAAATAAACATTTCTTTAAAAAAAAACTTTGCATGCTTAAAATGTCTGCAGTCAAGAGGAGGACAGAAAGCAGTTAAAGAATCACCTAAAATATACCAAATTATTAAAAAACAGCTTCAAAGGTTAAGAAATAAATCAGACCCTCAGATAAAATAAATCAGAACTATGCATATTTGCAGCAGAAGGTCTGTCTGGAAAGTTTCATATTATTTTTTTTTAAATAAAATCATTCAGACCCAGGCATCTTTCTTCTTGCACTACTGAGGCTTTGATAAGTGCTTCACTTGAAGTAACTTTGAATGATATTGTTGGAGACGCATCAGTTTATTCCAGCTGTGTCTCAGGAAGCAGAATCATAGAATGGTAGAATCACAGAATCACAGAAGACAGGAAGCGATACCCTGTGCAGTAAAGACAGAGCCAAGAGAAGTGTTTTATTCTCCACCTGGTTGCAGTAGATGCAGTCAGTCCTGAGTTCTGTGTGGCTGGTTTCTCTGCTCTTACCCACCACTTGGAAAATTCCTGTGTTGTCAAAAATGGGGACTGGGAAGCAAAATGACACAAGCATCATGAGAAATTGTTATGTGCTCCAAAGGCCAGAATTGGAGAACATTACTAGACACCAAAGGATCAATGACTGCTGTTGGCTTTGCCTATAAAATTCATAGTCATCACTTCCCTGACTCAGAAACTTTTTATTGCAGCAAGCATTAGATATTAAGCACTGCCACTAGACATAGTACACAGTTAGACATACCAGTGATCTACTCAAAAGCAACCCCCTGATTTTTTTATTAAAACCCTTTTAACCAAAGTGTATATCATGTTTATTCTATTCTTTTGCCTGCTGTATTCCATTCCTCTTAAAAAGAAAATAGTTATTATTCAAGTATTTTTTGAGGTAAGTGACAGGATGAAAATTTCTCATGGATGAAGAACCAGAGTGGTGATGGCTGCTGGGTATCTACTAAGCAGCAGATACAAACTGGCAGAAGGAACCTCCATCCATCAGCCCTGTGTCACTTGACGTGGCTGTGGTCCTGGAAGCGACATCTCCACAGCCCAAACAGTCACCTAGATAATGACAACACCGTGCCCCTACCTTGTTTCAAGTACACAAAGATGCGTAATGCGTTGCTTTGAGGGAATAGCAACAGAGCAACAGCTGTGCTTCTTTAAAGGTGCTCAGAGAGGCAATAAGTCTTCTCAAACTCTTGCCAGAGAGGCCCACTGGCTCAGACATTAGGGCACAATAATAATGTCCAGGCATGATTTTTCCCCAAATTAAGAGTACATTCTTTACATCTAGCACATCAGGACAAGGTAATAAATTCAAGCTTCTCCAGTAAATTGGAGCATAAAAAATGGAGGAATGACATAGAGTTTATTTTTAGTTTGGATTCTCCCCATTCTATTTAGAGCATGAAGCCCAGAGGCAACAAACAAACAAGCAAAAAAAAAGTCCCATGAAAATGAGTTTTGCATTAACAGCTGGGTGAGCCAGTGGAGCTCACTACAAAGCAGCAACAAGGGAGGTTTGGGGAGCTCACCCAGCTGGCACCACAGCCACACTTAGGTGAAAATTCAGTGTAAGCACACTTTCTAACCATGTTCCCTAAGGCAGGAGCTCCGGTATGAGCTAACAGATTTCTTGTAGAAAACATGTACACGTTTTGAAGCAATTAGAGTTAGGAGTGGGCAATGATACCAAACCTTTTATGCTTCTCATGAGCCCACCCAAATTTCCATTTCACCCCATTTAACTCTCATTGGTCATTTTTTCTTTGGTCAGAAACTTCAAGTAGACTCAAACTAATACCCATTCTTCCCTGTCTGTCATGTCAACAGGTCAAATATTATTTCAAACAAGGGAAAAAATGGGCAGAGCAAACCTGGCAAATCTGAAAGAAACTCATTAGTCAGGGAAAAAAAATAATTGAGAAATCTGTTCTTCAGCTCTAAGCAATTGTCAGAGGTTGGCCATTTTGACAGCGATATACCAGCAGTTACATGATGGGATGATTCTTGTGAACATAATATGCTTCAGTGACTATGAGAAGCTATGCTAACATGGTGGTAGCTGTAAAAGACATCATCATTTAAGGCATTGGCTGGTATGGCAAGATGCAAACAATCAAAACGTCACAGGCATGGCCCAGTATAAAGCTAAAGCCAAGCGTTACTGGTGTTTCATTTGCTGTGGGATATGTGATGTGTAGGCAGTGATGAAGATGGAGCAAGTGCTCATTTACAGCAGAAGAACTTCGCATTGTTGAGTGCTGTGTCATTCTGAAGCCCCTGGGGGGGCTCTACCTTGGTCTGGAGACTGCATACGTTGCAGCTTTTGCTCCATGGGCCAAATCTACCCCACGATAGTCCATCACCTACTAGGACAATTGCATCTGAGCATCTGAACTGGATGTTGTTGGCTGTGGTGTCATCACCTCCTCCTTGGGACTTCTCTGTTCTCAATGAGAAGGAGATCAGGTAGCCTCCAGGGCAAACTTGGAAGCTGGTCCAGGAACCCCACCTGGCAAAAAAGCAGACAGAGGAATACCTGGGTTGTGCAAACTGCTACAAAGTGCTTCTTCTCCTTACCATGCTGCCCTCAGGTTGGACACTTCCTTGCTCACAGCAGTGACCAGTGCAACATCCCGCTGCAGTCGGGGGCCCCTTACTTTCCAAAGGTGTACTTTTCTCTTTATTGGTATCTCATCAGAAAAACATCAGGAAGTCCGAGATTGGATAATTATGATACTGGTGGAAACTCCAAGTACAGCCTGGGCATGTGTTTTATGGTGAAACCTTGAGCTGTCTGATAAGTACGCACCAGGCAGCAGGGAGAGCAGACACTTTGCCATCCAAAGGTGCAGTGCTGTTCACTTCAGCAGGGCCTGGGCTTCACCCAAACGGTTTCTAAATGTGTGGTGAAAAACCCCTTTCCTCGCATCTGCCCCATGTATTGCATATTTCCAAGAGGGACTCTAGCCCTGCAATGATACTTGGGTGGTTCACAGTGCCCTGCAGAAACTTCAAGAGCAGACAGAAGGTGGTAATGTGAAGTAACTGTGTTTAATTACCCTAAAAATGAATGAACCAAAACCATAACCACCTGTTTTAATTTATTTTATACGCCAGGACTATGTAGACAAACAAGTCAGAGAAGTGACCACTGCAAATGGTGACACCTATGGATATTTTGGGAGCTGGTGCATGACAAATAAGGGAAAAAATGGTGTTACTTACTCCCCCAACCAAGGACTCAATGACTGAGTCATCTTGACAATGCAGGCATATACTGTTCAGAGCTGTGTCATCTCTTCCAAACTGGGAGGGCTCCACCCATGGTAGAAAATATACAAGGACAGAGGTAAAGGCAAGGGGGAGAGGACTCAGGAGAAGTCCTTTAAGTGCCAGTCATATAAAGCTCCAGTTCCTTTCTGTAATAATAAAGAGAAAATGCCTTGGGAAGCACATGGGAAAAGAAGTCTGTCACACTAGGAAACCGTAATGCACCTACATAACCCTTGTAACATGTTCTTCGTGTTTTCTAACTATTTCTGACCCAATGTGTAAGGCAGAGACTCTGAGTCCCCAGGAGAGATGCTGGAGACGGCTGCCTCTCTCCCTGATTCCAGTAGCAGATTTCAGCATTTACATGGCTTCTCCCAGTAAAATCAGCTACATGGAGACCATGCATCTGCCAGCCCAAGAGTTTGAGAGAAAAACAATTCTGGCAGTAGCCCTGGTTTTGCTGTATCTGATTGAGACCTCTTGTCCTAAAAAAAAAAAATAAATATCATATACTATAAAAAAAATCATAACTATAGTGGCAACATCTTCTAGACTAAGTTTTCCAAAAGACTCATAGTTTTATGTACAGAGTACAATACTCAGGAAGCGGAAAATCTCTGCAAAAAGTCCTTTGACTCTGAGAAGACCCTCCTGAGAGGTGAGAGCTGTATACCAGGGCACAGGGACAGAAGACAGTGGGAAATAGGGAGAATTTTAGCTTCAGCTCAAATAGGAAGAATTTTACCCTCAGTGCAAATCCATTGGCATAGCCATAGTGGAAAAATTGCCGACCCCCCCCACTTGCCCCAGTGGCCTCCACTGGGCACAGTGAGGACAGAGGTGTATTCACGTGCCTCTGTGCCTGGGCTGCAAGGGAGAGGAGCAGGATGAGGGTAGCTGGCATGAGGAGCTTCATCTCTTGCACTCTGCATCTGCTGAAGGAGAGCTGGTACATGGATGGGGGAATATATACCCTGCCAAGGCAGTTTGCCTTTCCCCACCAGTCCATCAACAAACACCATAGGAACAAGTTTCTACCCAGTCAGTGACACGACACTTGTTGACCCGCTCAGAGTGCCCTTGAGGAGCTCCCTGGGAGCCCAGAGAGTTTGACAGCCACCGTGCAGCAGATGCTGTGGCTGCAGGGGTATCCACCATCACTGAAGGGCTATATTGAGACCTACGTGCTCTTTGCCATTCTCAGAGTGCCTGTGGAACAACTTGGCAGAGGCTTGATATCGATTCCTGCTGCTGGCTGGGAATATTCTTGGCAATGAGGACATTGCCTTTAGAGGGAAACTGTCATAACCATTTTAGTTATTGCTGGATGTCTAGCAAGACAGGTCAATCTATACAAAGAAACATGGGGGACCTGGTCTGGAATAAAGTATACTCAAGCCTTGTGTCTCCCAGCACCCTGTGTTGAACAGGATTCCTGGTAAGCTTGCCGTATGTACAGTCTATTTATAGTTTCAATGTCATTTTTTTCACTGTGATTTTTATTTCAATAAAAAACACTGTGCTTTGTGACAAGCTTAACTTAAGTCAGACATGCTGGGCTGCTCACAGTGACTCTCAGAGAGACAGTGGGACATTGCCATTGGGAGGAGACATGGAAGGCAAGTTTTCCAGAAAGGCGACACTGAACTTGAATGCACAGTCTCTGAGGATGCCAGGATGCAGGGAGAGCTGAATTTGAAACCCTGTAGTTGAGACTCTCTTAACATACAGATAACCAATGCTTCTTAGGGCTCTTAGTCAGGCTTGCAGGGTCTGGCACAGGCTGTTTCTCTGTTCAAGAGGCAAAGAGCAGAATACATTTGAGGAAAGCGTCTCAAGCCTCAGGATTTTATAGCAAGATGGGGTGCCAAACCTTGAATTATCAGAAGACAGTCTCCCTCTTTCAGTCTCTGCTCTGCTCCCTCTGTTCCTGTCCCATTAAGAGGTGATGTTGTTTTTCCCACCCTTGGCTCTGTACCCCGCTTCTGCTTGTCAGTGCTTTGTGCACGTGACAAGATCTGCAAACGGAGATGGTGGGAAGCTGGACAAGCCTTTCAGGGGAAGGCACCCAAACAGCACAGCATCTGATGGAGGCACAGCCTGTTTTCCTTTTTAAACCAGGACTTCCATCTTGTTTCTCCAAGGGGGGGATGTCCAAGCCCAGGGGAAAGGTGCTTTCCCCGCCAAGGACCATGCGATCACAGCTGGTGAGCTCAGACAGGGTCACATGGTGGCAGCTGGGGCACCCAGACCTGCCTTTGGCTGCACATGAATGGAAAGAAGCAGTGGGAGTCAGAAGGAAATGTCTAGGACCTGGTGTTAACACCACAAAAGAAGCAGCAGAATCTCCACATTCGTTTCTGCTTTGCTGGCCCCAAACCATCTCCCTTTGGCTGCTTCACCTCTGGCAGCAGTGGTGCTGACCCACAGTCTGGCAGGACCCGCACACCCTCGGATTCTGCTCCGATCAGGAGATTTCTGTCGCTTCCCAGCCCCAGAGGGAGGATCCCTGAGCACGGTGAACCCTCAGGGTGACAGGGGAGCAGAGTGAGGCAGGAGAGCATTGAGGTCACCCTCAGGGATTTGGCAATGAGAAATGACTCCTACACACACTTCAGAGGCCACTAAGAAAACTCAGGCCCAGGATGAGCACTGTCACTCTGGGGCTTGGGAAGAATCATTTTCCCTATTCTCAACCAAAGAAAGTACCTGGTAACCTGTGGTGCCAAAATTGAGCTGCCTTGGGCTCGATTTCAGAGTACACAGCTTAGATAGCACTTAATATGTACAAATGCCATGGATTTCTGCGACTGTGTAGTGGTGCTAATTTTGTTTGGATGCCTTGAAATGTTTTCTAAGATCAGCTAACCTCAAATATCAAAATAAAAAGAACTCTACAATGGTGAGATCGGACCTCTTACTGACACGCGTACCCTACTTTCTCCCTGCCTCTCCTGTATTTTAATATCCTTGAAATAATGTCAGAACATAGCTTTAAAAAGAATTGGCAAACTGATGAATTTGATTAACAAAACATGACTACGCTAAAATGATGATGATACAGGGTATTTCATGCTTTCATTATTCATCCAGCTGAATACAATTATTTTTGCAAGCAGAGGAGCATGAAAATTACGCCATTATTCTTCAGCTTTTATAAATACTTCTAAAAATTTAAAAATAAACAGATGAATATAATAGTAACTGGTATGATAATTTTATAAAATTAATATTTTGATGCAAAGAAATATTTGTAACTTACATGGAACATGCAAAATAAATTTATATCTATAACATATAAAAACATATACCATACACAATTTGCTTCATTTTATGATGTTATTGAAAAAATGATATATTGACAGCTCATGAAAATGGATTTATTTCTTATTTTTATACTTGAAAATACCACACACTTAGGAATACAAACTTTATTTGGCACTATTGTGTGTTTTCTTTCTCATACACTCAATTTCTCATATTCAGGTACATCTGTTGCTCAAAGGTCAATGATCATTTGAGAGACTTCCCAGACTGCCCAGCCTCATCCCATAGCTTTTGAAAAGCACAGCAATAGACTGTGAAGTCATGCAAGACCACACCTGCTTCAATTTTCTCGCTCCCGTTTCGGTCTCCAGTAGCTCTGCTCTCCATCCACAGTGCACGTACCTCCATCCTGCTCCTAATGGTCTGTCAGGAGCTCTTCAAGCCCGTGGAGATCCTGATGTATTTCAGCACGGTACTTTGTCTGTGTTCTGAAGAGAGTCATGCACCAGAGTCATTTCTGGTTTTTACTTCCTTAAAATTGTAAGGATTGGGCATTTTTAAAACCTAGTAATTAATATATTTCTATGTCAGGCAGAGAAAATCAGTTCCTATTATCTCCTCTACTATGTGTTTTGTAGAATTCCCTGCAAAAGATTAAATATACTAATTTAGAAAAAGTTTGAAGTTTCTTTTATCAACAAGACACAGAAGTAGAAATGAGCATAGTGTCGTAATTTTTAACTATTCATATTAACCCCCATCTTGGACATTCTTGCTCCCTTCTTCGCAGGATCCAGCTCACACCAGAAGTTTCCAGGAGCAGGGAGGGGTCTAGTATGATGATTTGCCAAGAGATAGAAACAAAGGACAAGCATTGTACACTGATGTCCATAACTCAGAAACACACTCGAATCGGCTGGTCAGATGCAAGCAAGAACTTCTCCATTCCAGTCTGTCAAATTAAAAAAGTTTCCTTTGATGTGAAATCTTCTCTGTGTGCTAATAGGAGAGAATTTCCATCTTAGATTGAGGTTCAGGGTCTACATCTGCTCATAGATCGTTCGTTGCGCTGCCAGCAGGTCTTCTGGCCTGGGGAGGTGAAAGGAACCTCTGGTGAGCTCACTTTCTCTGCAAGTAAATAAAACCTGCAAGATACTCAGGTGAATTGAAAACTGGCCAAACAGCCAGGCCCAGAGGGTGGTGATCAGAGGCACAAAGTCTGGTTGGAGGCCAATAACTAGCAGTGTACACCAGGGGTCAATACTGGCCCCAGTCCTCTTTAAGATCTTCATTAATGATCTGGATGACGGGGCAGTTTTGCTGCCAGCAGGTTTGCTGGAGACACAAAACTGGGAGGAGTGGCTGATATGTCAGGGGGTCACGCTGCCATCCAGAGAGACCTCGACAGGCTGAGAAATGGGCTGATGGGAACTTCATGACATTCACCAAGGAGTAGCGCAAAGTCACGCACATGGGGAAGAACAATGCCATGTACCAGTGCATGCTGGTGACCACTCTGCTGGGAAGCAGCTTGGAAGAAAAAGACCTGGGGGTCCTGGTGGACACCAGGTTGAACATCATCCAGTAATGTGCTCTTGCAGCAAAGATGGCAAACGGTATCCTGGGCTGCATCAGGCAAAGTGTTGCCAAATGGTCAAGAGAGGTGATCCTTCTTTACTCAGTGCTGGTGAGGCCAAACCTGGAGTCCTGTGAATGATGCTGGGCTCCTCGGTACAAGAGAGATATGGACTTACTGGAGAGATTCCAATGAACGGCCATGAAGATGATTAAGACACTGGAATGTCTCTCCTATGAGGAAAGCTGAGAGAGCTGGGACTGTTCAGCCTGCAGAAGAGAAGGCTCAGGGGCACCTCATCCATGTATATAAACAGCTGAGGGAAGAATGCAAAGAAGATGGAGCCAGGCCCTTTTCAGTGCTGTCCAGTGACGGGACCAGAGGCAACGGGCACAAACTGACACAGAGGAGATTCCCTTTGAACATCAGGGAACACGTTTTTGTGGTGAGGTTGACTGAGCACTCGCACAGGTTCCCAGACAGGTTGTGGAGTCTCCATCCTTGGAGACAGTCAAAAGCTATCTGGACAAGGTCCTGGGAACTGGCTCTAGGTGACTCTGCTTGAGCAGGCAGTTGGAGCAGATTACCTCCAGAGGTCCCTTCAACATCAACCATTCTATGACTGTGTGATTCTGTGAACTGGAAGAGAGATGTTGACAGGAACAACAAGAGGTCCCTTCAACATCAACCATTCTACATTCAACATCAACCATCATCATCAACAACAAGGCAACATAAATGGCCATGAAGATAATCTCAGTGATGTTTTTTGAGTGAGCTGTAGGAAGGGTTGAAGGCAGCATGTGCCCAGGGTCTCAGGAGAGGCGTGAAGGTAGACAGCATCCACCAAACAAGTCAGTAAGTACAGAGGGGTAGTTTTGGTTGAATGACTGTGTGTTTCTGTATGCTCCAGGCCATTTTATTCTCCTCCCACTCTGTTACCAAGATGCTGGTTACCGCAAACCAGCTCTCAGTAGCCATGTCCCTCACCAGCTCCAATGTCCAAACTGGCCGTCATGATTAGGTATAAATCGGGTGTAAATCACACAGCCTGGTTCTGGCAAACCTCTCTC